CGTGCCGCGGGGTGCGGAGTTGAGGTGCGGGGATGAGGTGGACGCGCTCTGTCCCGCAGCTTCCTACAGATTCGCGGTGCTGCTCTTCAACTGCCTGCTCACCTTCGGCTCCTACTTCTGCTTCGACATCCCCAGCGTCCTGCAGGAGCAGCTCCAGGGGGTGAGTGTCGGGGTGGGCGGCAAAGGGCAGGACCAGCAGAACCGAGGCCTTGGTCGCGGATCGAGTTTCAAAACCTCTTACGGTGTCGCTGCAGGAGTCGTGCTGCAAGGTCTTGTGCTCCGGGTGCTGGGGGTGAGGAGTTGTTACTGGCATGTTTGCTGTGAAGATGCACGAAGCCAGGACAAGCCGTGAGGGCTGAGTAGCGAGTTCTTACTGCTGCTGGAGGCACTGGAAATTAGAACCTGCCCTTGCTCAGTGATTTTCCGCTGTCTGTCCAAACAGCTCTTTGCTACACTAATGAAGTTCAGAGTTAGAATGGTGGTCACAGCACTCTGCATGGAGAAGATCCCTAAAATTGGCTGTTATTACCGATGCTGGACTGGAAGACTAGCAATGTTGGAGATAGGAGGCTAGGAAAGACTTTCTGGGTCTTCAGATCCAAATCTCCCAACGCTGCAGGGGTTGCACCACGGGTTTGTTGGCTAGCCGAAAGACAGAGGTGTGCAGAAGAGGACTCTGCTGTGTGAAAACTAGTCGTATTCTCAAATGCTAGAAAGTTTTGTTGTTGACTGATATCCCAGTTGATTTCTGGGATTTCTCCAGGGATGCCAGTGTCCCAGTTCTTGTCTGAATTCCTGAATATGTGACAGAAATTCTTCCTTGACTCATTTATCTGTCATTATTGCATTGGTTTCATGTCTTCTGAGAGCAGATTTCTCTCACGTGTACCATCTGCTGGCAGATTGGTATGTGTGGGCTGAGAGTCTCTGTCCTGTCTGCTTTTGTAGTGAGGGCAGAAATACACATAGCTTGCATGTAACTTTTCTATTTTAAAATGCAGTTAATCTATAACATTCAGGCAGTGAACTGCGGGCTAAATTGGGTGCAGTTTGTCATAGCAAACAGTAGTAAAAAGAAAAAAATAGGTCAGTGTTTATTCCTTGATACTCCACAACTTCTGTAGGTCTGTGGGAGAAGAATCATTTATTCATGGAGTAGAAGAAAGGTTATGTCATATTTTGTTACCTAGGTAACTTTCTAGGGAGTGAAACCAAGCCATATTTTTCTGTGTTGGGTACTGTGCAAACAGCGTTTTAATCTGTTGATGCTCACTGTATTTTTGCTTTGGCGAATTTACCCTCTACCTGCCTTACACAGTGGTACCTTGGTAGCTGGAGCATCTGAGACTGGTTCTTGCAGTGAAAACACTTTGTTCTAGAGAACTGTTTCCCTGTGGCCTTGGACATTTCTGCTACAGCAGATCTGAAGCGTTTGTAAATACAATGGCTATATAAGAAAAAAGTGGTTAAAATCACGCTTTCCTGGTGCTCTTTCAAGACATTAAGTTTGTGCTGCCGGTGTGGAAGATCTAGTGTCCATTTCCTAATGCAGGTAGATTTTGAGATCTAAGTTTTTTCACTGATCATATGGTGGTGTTTTCAGTAGCAAAACTGACATTATTAAATCATGCTATGACTACAGGTTTCCTACTGTTCAGCAAATGCTTTATAGCTGTGAATTAATATGGACCACTGTTAAGTTTCATGTTTACACACTGCTTAAGGCTTTATAGTATGTCAGGAAGAGTCAGATAAGCTGAACTATAGCCAAGAAAAAAAGGGATCAAATAAACCTCATGGTGCACTCTCCTGGCTTTTCTTTTGGACAAAAAAACATACAAAAGTGCTGAACCCCTGCTGCTGCTGCCACAGAAAGAGGAGAGGAAGATGTGCTGGTGGCCAGGCATTTCTGGCTTTCTGGGAGAAGGCACAAGTCCTCTAATTCTGGTCATGCGAGTGGGAACTAAGTAGGAGAAATAGAAATCTTGTAGGCGAGAACTTAATGTCATTTTCAAAGGAATGTGTGGGTTTTCCTCTGTGTCTGAGGCTTAACACAGACCCTGTGACTTGTTTTGCAGAACTTGACCTGTCCCAATGGAACCCATTGTAACAGCACTGGGCATAATGGCACACAGGACTGTGTCGAAGGCTTGGGAATGACACCTGCACAGTACAATTTGCTGTACGCAATCTATGCTTGGACGTAAGTCAATTTGTTATGCTTTGGGGGCGTGCTTCTCAGCAGCAAGACACAAATGTTTTTGTTCTTGTTTTCTCCTAGAAATGCAGTAGTGGTTATTGTGGCTGGGTTCCTGATTGACAAACTAGGCAATCGCTGTAAGTTCAAAGGATCGATTAATTTATTCTTGGACTGAAGTGGGATTTCAGGCTGTTCTTACAGTGCAAAGGGATGAACAAAGGTTACACTTCAGTAAGATCACAGAGGGGCGGGCGCAGAGGGACAGCTGTGTGTGTAGAGTGCATGATGGTTGAGCAGCTCCTTGAAGGCAACTAAGATGTTTTCATCCTTTGACCACTGACTTATCTGCATTTACACAGCAGTGCAGTAAATTTGCTTTCCTCATGTAACAGGGGATAGTGTTATCTGTTTTCAGTAGGACGAACTGATAAAGCAAATGCAGATGCTCTGCCTCTGAATCACAGAGGTGAACATCTGAAAGATGAGGAGACCGAGGCACAGAGAAGATGTCGGAGTGGGGGGGGGGAGGTCAGGATGGGAGCAGGGACTCTAAGAGTTCAGAGTCCTCTGACTTGTTCTGCCATGATAATATCATCATTATTTTGAGGATTCCCAAGTAATTTTGTAAGAGACCAGTTTTTATGAAATTTAAATAATGAGAGTGAACTAATGAAAGCCCACAGGTTTACTGGCCTGTTTTGAGGTTGCTCTCTTGCTTTTTAACAAGGAATGGTTTTGTCCTGATCTCAGCATGTCTGTTGATTTTTGTGTATTTTTTTCTGTTTCTCTCTAGTTGGTGTCTTTGTTTTCTCTCTTCTGACTGTGCTGGGATCGTCAATCTTTGCTCTAGGCTCACATTTCAAGGGGACACCATACCTCCTACCAATGATGCTAACAGGACGACTACTCTTCGGCTCTGGGAATGGGTCACTTACTAGTAAGGAATTCACAGTCTTAATTATCCCTCACCAGAGTGTCATGAGACGTTTTTATTTTGCCTCCTAGATGCTTGTCCTTTCAGTCAGCTTTACCTACTCTGCACCAGGAACCTACATTGCTAACAGCAGAATGCTGCTCTGTGAAGGGCTGCAGGGATTTAATGTGTGGTGAAACGTTTAGAAGTCTTCCCCTCTAACAAGTTTGTCGTTCTCCCACGGGTGAGGACTGACGCGATTGCTGTGCCTTGGGAGTTATTTTTGCTTGTCTTATTTGAGGGATAAGTTCACCTCCTATGTCGCAGCATAATTTGGTATGTTTTAAAATGGACCGCAGAGTTGCACGTGCTACCTCCACTTGGGATGCGCGGAGGTCTCTTACCCCAGCTCAAGCCCTCCAGCTTGAGAGGCTCTGTTTGTTGCTTCTACGCAATGCTCTTGGCCAGGTCTGTCTGTTCAAGAGAGGATTTTTGTCTTCAAGTTGTGCAGAATCGTATCACAGCCTTCTGGTTCAAGGGGAAGGAACTGGCACTGGCATTTGGACTGACACTGTCTTTTTCCCGTCTTGGGAGTGTCCTCAACTTCTTCTTCACTCAGCAGTTTGAGGCAAAATTTGGAATGCAGTGGACACTCTGGGGAGGTGAGTTTCTTTGGTGCTTTACCCTTTTGTTTTCTGGACCTGAGGCTAGCCTGTTTCATCCAGTTAGGAAAAGTACCTGAAAAAGATAGTGAAGTTAGCTGGAGGAGGCACATGATTTTCCAGTTTTTCTTGTTGGTTTCTGTATGTAATGGAGTGGTGTTTTCTTCAATGCCTGAAAACCTTCTAAAGCTGTAGTGTCAGCCTGACAGTTTTGTCTGCAGTTTTCTTGAGATATTTTAACATGTGCAGTCACAGGTAGTCAATACTTAATGTAGGTTTACTCGCATTGAATGGAAACTTCGGAGTGAAACAAAAGAGGAATCTAATGTGTGTGGTCTACTGTATTTTAGCCAGCAGAACATGCTGGTTCTGTCGTAGTATCTGTATCAGTCTCAACGTAAGATGCTTTGCGTGTGGACTGATCAAAATTGTAGGTTTAAATTCCTGTGAGAAGCAGAATCTGAATAACACATTTCGTTGTGTGAATCTGTTCTAGGGCTCCTATCTTCAGAAGATTGGAGTTTCTGTCCTCGCTTTGCTTCAGTAGATGGGATCTGTCTGTAGTGGAAATGTTCATCTATTTCACAGTGCAGTTAAGCAGAGGCGCTCAGGTTCTCAGGTGTGCTGGAATGGTGACATTAGGGAGACCTGCCTCAGGGCATCCTTTGTGTACAAAGACTTGGTGATTGTAGGAAAGTGTGATTTCCCAAACAACAAAACAGTATGAGGCATCACCCATGGAAAAGAGGATGCATATTTCTTGCAGAAATTGAAACCGGTGGCTCTCACAGCTCTTGATTCCAGGTTGGGCATAGCATGTTCTATGTTGCATCCCATCTGATAATATAAGTTTTGTGCTCAGGCAGCATTTGCAAGCACACCACCACGACATCAGTAGCCCATGAAGTGATAAATACATCAGACAAAGTGCATCTGCATCACAGAGATCACTTTGGCTCACAAAGAAACAGACAGAGATCTGAGAGAATGGTGCCTGCAGGAGATGCCCACTGCCAAACTTGCTCCTGGCATATCCAGCATAACCTGACTCCCTTCTCTGGAGCTGAGTGTGCTAACGGATCAGACTGCTGCAGTAGGTCATATAAATGAAGAGGCAGAACTTGGCTTGTGTGGTACCTCTACAGACCGTGGAAGTTTCTTCAGCTCTTTCACTTCCTGTTTGTTGAGCACAGGCCTGCTGCAGTTTTGAAGGTGTGGTGGCCATCATCCACTTGGCTGGCTGTAGAGATGGGTGGGCTTTAGCTGGCCTCGGGCAACTCTGCAGGCATTGGAGGTTTAGTGGACAGAGAGTTCAAGGACTCTGACTGGGAGGTCAGAGGTAAGTGTTCCTACTGCACGGCTGCAGCAGGGAAGGCTGAGAAACTGGGAGTAGGAGTCATTGAGACGTCTGTGTATTATATGCAGTTGGTTTTGTCATTTAGCTGTGTCCACACTGAGGAATTTCTAACATCTCTTGTGTCTTTTCCAGGTACCCTGCTCTGCGTGCTTGGTTTTGTTTCAGCTCTCACAGTCAGTGTGCTAGATAAAGTGGGCATGAAGCAACTGGGCTTGGATGGGGTTATCCAGCAAGAATCCAAAAAAGTGGTATGTGCCATAGAGGCAGCTTTTCCATCTCATTTTTTGAAAGCTTGGGTGCAGAAGCGCTGCTTGTACAGTGCTTGGAAGCCTCAGCAAGAGCTGGTCCTGGCCAGGAGAGGGCATTAACGCGCCTTGGTTAAATGTTGGAGAACTGTTCTGCGGGTATATCCAACGATGTTGCATCTGCAAGCCACCAGACAAATGTACATTTTCTATCTAGAGCTGATGTATTTGCAGCCTTCCAGAAAGCTGAGTCAGCACTCTGAACGCCATGATTTTTCTGAGCCAGTTACTTCTTGACTGTAGGTGGCTCAGAAGAGGATTTTGTGCATAAGACAGTAGCCTCTTTCTGCAACTGCTTTCTGGCTCGCAGGATCTGGTACAGAAAACAGCTAATTTGCTCAGTACTGAACTACCTTTTGCCCACGCTTATCTTACATTCCTCTCATTCTTCTGTCTATGAACAAGCATTACAGACAATAATGTGATTTTTATGGCATTTAAATCTGTTAGACCTCTTCCATCTCATGACAATATTCTTTCTGGTTTCTGTATCTCAGTGTTGTGCCTCCTCTTTATAGTGTCTTTCCGCTGTGTTTCACTTAAGGTTTTTGCAGTAGGCTTTTGATAGAGCCTGCTTAGAATAGTATCTTGCAGCCATAACCTTTATAAAACAAAAGAAGAAGCCTTTTTTTTTTTCTTTACTGAATAGCATTAAAGAAAGAATGCTTTGGACTCAGCATGTGCTAGATTTCACTTAGAGGTACCTGAGCTGCCTTTCAATTCCCTTTTACCTGCTGTTACTTCTTAAATTTGTTGTGACCTTCAATGGCTTGCAGAAAGCAACACTAGTGTGAAGCTGAAGACTATTTCCTGGTGAGTGAGGATACATTTTATCTTTGCAGCGGGTTCAGGATATCCGGCGACTTCCCCTTCGCTACTGGCTCCTGGTCCTCACCATCATGTTCTTCTACAATGGAGTCTTCCCCTTTGTAGCAGACGCCAGGTATTGCTCTATGGCTGTACTCCCAGTGACTGATAAGACCCTACCAGAGTCTTGCAGGCCATTGGTTTTTAGCTGACTGGGAAGTATGGGGGCAACATACGTGTTCCTTCCACTCATGAAATGTAGAGAAACACGTCTTTAACACCTAGTTAGCCTAGGGAGGCTTCTGAAGAAAAGCAAAAATAACTAAAAGAGAAATGATTCAGCCAATATTTAAATCTTTGAATGCTGCTGAAGGAGGACCAGAAGGATTTGGGAAAGGGGAAGAAATACTTTATTTAAAAAATAGCCTGTAGAAATGTCACCTTTGTGATAGTCCAGCAAAATGGCTGGCTGTTGAGCTGGGTGGGGTGTTAGCTTCACAGGCCTGGGGCAGGCCTGTCCTGCAGGACCCACGTGTTCTTTTCTGAGTCTGGGACAAAGCTAAGCCTGTGGCAGGCTGCGTTTGTAAACGCAGAACCCTTTGCATCCCAGCGCAAGGCTTGCAGACTTCCTTTCTTACGCCTTCACTTGCTTAAAACAAAGTGGCAACCTGCCCAACTAAATTTGGACTCCTGCTTCTGTCCTGTGGCTCTGCCACATACGTCATTTTGCTGCTTTTTTTCCCCTGTCTGTGGATGATGCATGCATGAGTATGAACTTTTATATTAGCAAAGGCCTACAGTAAAAAAAATAAATAAAAGTTGGAAATATTTCATTAGTTATGTACAGTAAGCCACTGTGAAATCAGGAGTGAAGAAATGTCATCTATTGTCGTTACAAATGTACAAGTGACCTCTTATTAGTAAAATAAAGACATTCAAGATGGCAAGGATCATCAGGGACTTGGTGAGATGGGCTTTCTATGCACCACCCTCTCATTTTAACTGAAAACTGTCTGTTGATCACACAAAAATCCTCATTTCTGCAATTTTGCCTCCCTGCAGAATTTTTTTTTTCCTTCTCTCTGTGGAACAAAAGTTCAGACAAGAAGAGTCCTGTTTCACACATCTTTTCTGGCAAAAAGTGCTGTGCTGCTTCAGAAAAATAATGGTCCCAAAGCCATTGCTCTCTAACAAAGGTGAAAGGCTGACTTCTCACAACAAAAACAGAACTTGGCTTGCTGTTTTTTGCTTTAACAAGAAGTCCCCTTTAAGATGCCAAGGGGGGATGCCTAGGATTTCTAAGATGCAGATGTTCAATTTAAATGCTGATCTGGATTACTTTAAAATATTTTTCTTGCCCCTCAGCAGTTTCACCTGTGGACTAACAATGCTTTCTGCCTTTTCAAAAAGAACGTAAAAAAAATCCACTTCTATGTTTGGGACAGGTGACAGCAAATTGCTGCTTGTGAACTGTGCTGATGTTATTGAACATATGCCCAGCTTTAACCTGCAGTTTTACTCCGCACTTGCAGAAATGTTTTGAAGGCAGTCGTTTAAGCTAATAGCTTCTCTATGATGTGCTCTGATTAAAAAGAAAAAGAAACCAAAACAGCAAAGGCTTGGCACTACAAACCAGATGCAATCAAACTTGTTTACAAGTCCTCTCATTAAAACTTCCTGTCCCTGTGTTTGTGCTCAGACTTATTTTCTGTCAAAATAACCAGATCAAGAATCCTAATTATGTCAATTTCCCTCCCCTTTATCTTATTTTTAGCAAGTTTATCCAGGATAAATATTCTGGTTACAGTCAGCAGGCAGCAGCTTATATTGCTGGGGCAGTGTACGACAGCTCCCTTGTTCTCTCTGCAGCAGTTGGCATATTAATCGTGAGTACCCAAAACCAGAATTGCTTGCTGATAACTTCTTCCTAATTTTTTAAAATGTCTGTCTGTCCCCCTCAGCCAGAATTAACCTGTTGTTGCTGAACAAGAAATCCTTCAATTCCTTGCGAACTGCAAGATGCACTTTAGTCTGAATTACATGTCAAGAAATAATTTTAAATTGTTTTCCCTCTGTTCCTTAATTGTCCTATGGTAAATGGCTGTATGTTTTGGGAAGTCTGAGACTGGAACAGAAAGGATCAGGATAATCTTTGAAGGACGACTTGCATGTAATCAGTCCCTGTTTTGCCAAACTTCCTATCCTTATTTCCATAACTGTCAGTCCATAATGGTGTGTTTTCCCTCCCTGTTTATTAAAGCCTGCCATTTCACATGAATACTGGACACTGATTCTCTGACAGGCATTTCAGTCTCAGTTCAGGAGTGTGCAAGAGAACCAGCAATAGCTCATCTGCTGGAGTATCAACAACTAGGAAATGAGATATTACTGCTACTCTCAACAACCCACCTTGCACAGCCGCTCTGTCACCAGGGTCTGTGGGAAGCAAGGATCCCATGTAAGAGGCTACCTGTTTGTGTTTCCTTTATCAGGACTATGTGGGACTGAGAGGCATCTTTGCTGTTGGCTGTGCAGCACTGACTCTGCCAGTCTTCGCTCTCCTGGCGTTTACATTTGTTCCTCCGTTAGTCTCTACTGTCTGGTTGGGGATTACTTACTCCTTTGCTGCTGTAAGTTCACAACCCCACTGCTGCAGTTGAGTTTTGTGGCTGTGCTTCTTGTGCCCTGGATGGCATGTGTCACTGCCCTTGTGTCCTGGTGAGCAGGTTTAGCAGCCACAGCTTGAAGTCACTGGCTCCCCAGTCCTGAAAACTTTGGTTAGCAACAATTAACCTCAAAGAATCAATATGGAACAAAATGCAAAGCAGAGCCAGGGACCGTGTAATTCAGCATGAAGCATTAATCTGCCTGTGCTTTTCTTAGTACTTTTTTGCCTTGAATGTAACACCTGAATCTCCTTTATGAGCTAAATCATCAGGTTTAACTCCCCATAAAAATCCAGTCAGGTTATTCCAGTTTAAAGTAATGCAGGCTGTGTATGCTGTCTCATGCTGCTTGAAAAGGATGGGGAACAGTCTAGAAACAGCCAGTGGGCTGAGAAGGATAAATACTAGATTTTTAGAAGAAAAAATATCAGTGTTTTAGTGGGAATAATTCCTTTTCAAACCAATGACCATCTGACACCTTAAATAAGGCTTTGAGTTAATTCCTCCTCTCATTACTCCTGCCAGGCTAGTATGTGGCCATCCATACCTCTTGTGGTACCCCAGGCAACATTAGGGACAGCTATGGGGCTTGCCACTTCTGTGCAGATGGTTGGAGTTGGTCTTTCCAATCTGATCGTTGGACACATTCTAGGAACAAAGGCCAGGTGAGAATGCTTTTTCTTTTTTTTTCCAAGCAGAGACATCTGCAGTGCTTTAGTGGAGCTGTGTGAACAGAAATCAGTGTCTTTGCAAGCTGCTGCTGCAAGGAGCTATAAAGTGACTATCTTGTTTTTGCCTTTTCTAGTGAATTAAAGATCCCCCTGTGGCGCTGGCAACAGATGATGATCTTCATGTTGGCAAACACTATTGCATGTATTGTTGCCTCTGTAAGCCTCAATATTGTGGACAAGAGACAGGTAAGTGTGATAAAAGATGAAGAACAGCCTTGCACCACTGAGTTGCTTTTAATATATATATCATTAAAATATTAATGATATATATACACACACCTGACAGCTGTTACAAGCAATTTCACCGACAAAAATGGGACTGCGTAAAAAGAGAACTATTTGCTAAAACACTGATGTAGCACATAGTAGTCTTACCTAGTATCAAGCTATTGATGGCTGTATTTTTTGCAAGAAGGTGAAGGAAGGCCAGGACACGCTGCAGAAATAGATGTGTACAGGAAGAACAGCATCCTTTTTGACGCTAATTGTTGCCTTGAAATTCTAGGGTGGGACATTGAACAGAACAAGAAAGGGAGCACCTGTGGAGCAGGACAGAGACCCTGCAGATGCAGCACGGCTCCTAGATGATGAAATGGGCAACGAAGGCTCTGTCAGCTGAACTTTTGCAGTATGAGAACTGCCAATGACAGTACTGATCACTTCTGTTTGAAAGTGGATTTTTAGCCTGTGTATTTTAAACATCTTTTAAAGGAATCTTGAAGGGCATTGTCTACAGAAAGGGAATGTTTCCACTTTCTATGCCTGGCACACAAGTGAAAGTGTCTGCTGTACGGGTCTTAGGCATTTTCCAACATACAGAAACCTGCATGGGGCACTTTAAGAACTACACGACAGTAAGTGCAACTAACATAGCTGACGCTTGTTCCTAAGCCATTAGACAGTTGCTTTCACTCTTGCATCAAAACTGCCCACATAACGTGTGCCTGCCTGCTCCACCACTATTTCTCCGTCACAACAACCCTGTACATCAGCACTTGCTAATCCATATACTGTGGCAGGCTGCTTCAGCTACTGCTCTAGATTAGCATGCATCTTTCACAAATTGCATATCCATGCAAGTGACACCATCATTATTCTTCAGTCTTCGGCCTAAATTAATCCAAACTGATTACCTTTTGCACACAAGCCTAGCTTAATTGCTTATTACCTTATTAGAAATGCTTCCGTAGGCCATGCCTATTCATTTGCCTTCAAAAGCATTAATTTGGTCTGAAAAATCTATCCTTTAAACCACTCATGAACATCAGAAGCTTATTTTACTCAGCCAACTGTCCTTTTCACTATGCAAAATGCTCACAAACACTCAGTGTTTACAAAAGCACAAAGGATGCTTTAAGAATGAAGTAAACTTTAACATAGCCAAGTACAAGGAATACTGAAGAAAATTACTTACGTAAATGATGAATTCTTAAGAGAAGGAGCAGCTGTGGACAAGTTGCATTTAATAAACGCTACTAGACTGAAGGCAATTTAGGCACTGATGGCATCCAGTAGAGCCACATTTTAAGTAGCTGACACAGAAGACAAATCGACTCATCAAAGCAAAGTTTTCTTAAACTGATTTACTGATGAGAATGTGCTCAGAGAGCAAGGTCTTCTAAGTTTTAATTTATACTGTGAATTCATTTCACATCACAGGCAATTAAAGAATTTCCTTGTCAGTCTGGTGTAGCAGAAATTTGGGGGAGGGGTGAGAAGTCGCAGAACTGCAAGAAATCACAGACTTGTCTCCTCTGGTTTGGCAGTGCCCCCTGAGATCATCTCCTCCAACACCACCTGCTCGAGCAGAGTCAGCCACAGTTTGAGACTGAGCCTCTCTGGGCAGCCTGTCCCAGCATTCAACTGCTCTCACAGTAAAAAGATGCTTCCTTGTGTTCCAGTGGATTTCCATGGAGTTTAACTTGTGCCCATGGCCTCTTGTCCAGAGCAGAGTCTGGCTCCCTCACCCTCGCTCTCTCCCAGCAGGTCCTTGAACACACTGGTAAGATCTCCCTGAGCCCTCTCCTCCAGGCTGAGCAGCCCGTGTTCTCTCAGCCTCCTCTCCTGTGAAAGATGCTCCAAGTCCATTTACCACCTTTGTGGCCCATCACTGTGCTCCTTAAGTCACCCCCCTCATACTGGGGAGCCTCAAACTGGACTCACTACCTGTGTAAAGCCTTGCCAGTGTTTTCACTCAGCTGGTAAATCAGATTCCTGCTAGTCTGTGGCTTTAAGCCCATCCCTCAGCCCCCAGTCACTGTACAGCTCTTCAGAGCTCAAATCCTGCAGTTGCAATTTTCCATATTGGAAAAATCCCATGGTGAATTCCCAAATGAGATTAAGGAAACCCACATGCAGCAGTACTACATAGTAGCTCGAAAGCCAGCCACTCCTGTTTGCCATCCCACAATCTACTCCAGATTAGCAGAAAAGAAACTTTTCTGTTTTGAAGAGTTGTGACATACTTTCCTTAGCATCTACCACTGGTTAATAAGGTTCCTGAGGGTGTAGCACTGGAATCTCACTGCCTGCTCCGGTAGGCTTCACTATGAAGCATTCATGTGTCTTTCCTACATTTGCCACCTATAAGAACTTATTTTGGCCACAAAGGTTTATGTAGGTACCATTGTACAACGATCCCTGCACGTGCTTTGAAAAACCTTTCCATATAATCTGATGATGTAGGGAGATTCTAGTGACCTTCAACTCTCTTGCACAAAGACCATCTTTAGGTTGGGAGGATTCTACTAGACCCTCTTTACAGGCACTGAGTTGTTCTTAAAAGACTGCTCATGTTTTTCAGCTCAGATTAACAAGGCTTGAAGCTGACATAACTGTAAGGAGGCAGAGAATGACCCCTCCTGCAACAGTACTTGCTCATCACCGTTAGGTGCATCAACAGCTTCCTTTTACTCCTGCTTACCTGGTTCATTCATTAATTACTCCACTGATGGGAAAGCCATCTTCCCTCTGCCTGATTCTTGCTTGACACTCACTGCTGAGCCAGAGCTCACTTCTAGGAAACTTTTTTACAAAGTAGAGCGCCATGAAATTACTTTGAGCTTGTCATGAAAATGAAAGGGTGGCATACACAGAGGTCAATGTGCTGCAAGAAATGGAAAAAAGGAATTAGCTAGTTTGGGCAACTCACACTGAGGGCTATTTTGTTTTTTTTCTGCTGATCATGCTCCACAACATGCTCCCAGAAGCCAGAACATTAGAAACACCTTTACACAGTGGAGCACACGTTTATGTAAAGTTTGTGGGAGGTGGCAATGGAGGAAAAGCTATCATCTTTATGAAGAAACTGGCACTAAATTAAGCTCACGGCTTCTTCTGATAGACCTCTGTGCTTCTGATATCCCTTGTCCAGAGATACTCGTGTTTTAGCCTGAAGTGGCATAGAGCATACACCCAGCAATAGCATGGGAGGGATAATCAAGAAGCCAAAGGCAGCATAGCTACTATTTAAAATACATGTATATGTGGGAGGGAAGAGGAAAGCAGTAGGGTAAGAGACCAGAATTAGCAGCTGGGTGGAGCTTGAGAGGCTGATGTGTAAAGCAAATTCCAGCACTCTGGCTGGTTATGATCCGCTTGAGGAGGAAGAGGGTCCTGTTAACAATATCAGGAGTTGCAGTTTCAAAGAAAGGGAAAGCCAGATTCAAGAGCAGATAATCTTCATCCTCAGAAGCAAGATAAAACAATAAAAATAATCAGGGCTGCAAGTTTAGCGCAATAATTAAAAACTGCTCTTTCTGCTCCTTGGCTGTGTTTTCAGAGGGAGGAACAAGCAGCATCTGGGCTGTGACCCTACTTCATTCCTCAAGAAAAATAAACAAGGGAAAGCTTCAGCCTCAACAACATTCTAAACCATTCTAAACCTTTTCCAAAAGGAAGCGATACAGATTTCAGCAGAGTTTCAAGCTGAAATTCAACAGGAGATGCAACAGAGGGCTCGAGCAAAACTGGGTGGCCAGCTGGCTTCCAAACTCTAGAAATGCAAACTGACAACTGAGCATGCTCCACACGTTGCCAGGCAAGCATCAGACTGTTCACCACACGATCACACAGGCAAAGTACCTCGACATCCAGGCACCAATGTGACCATATTATACGTACGCAACTGTGAGAATTCTTCAGAGAACATGCCACAACAGTTTAGTGCTTAAATAATCATCTCCACACAGCACTACTTTACATATATTCTCTCACTAAACAAGCCCCAAGAATGTACTTTAGATAATCCAAGTCTATTAACCTCTATAAACTCTTCAAAAAAAAACCAACCCACAGTAATGCTACTTAAAACACGAAGACATTAATCTTCCCCATTAAGAGTGCAAAGTTGCCTGTTCATCAACGGTTATGCAGTGAAGTAACAGAAGACTGTATCAGACAGTGCTTGGTTAAAAGGTATCACATGTAAGCCTGGAGTCTCACTAGGGGACAACATGCACTGAGCTGGGTTACCAGGCTGACAGGGGACCAGAGGGATGGCATGCTGCAGCTGGGCTGCCCATGAGGACAGTGCTGTCTTGTACTGGTGGGCATGGTGACATATTTAGGAACCAAGCAGCAGCTATGCCTAGAATTGTACACAGGACTTAGGAAAGCATGCAAGTCATCCCTTAACCACCTTCCTAGCTGAGCTTATAACAGATATCATCACTTTCCTTCTAAGAATGAAACAGTGACCTGGATAATATTCTGTCTTAAATGTCTGAGCTACAAACCCTCAATTTAGAGGTGATGTATAGAACTGCAAAGTGAAACTGTATTTTAGTCTAGTAGTTGGGAGCAGTTCAAAGGAAGGACAGTCCTTTGTTGCTGATGTGTTCTCTGTCAAGGGCATTCACAATTTCCCACACTGAGCAGATCCTACCCAAAGCACTGTGCATGCTTGAGGGACGAGCTCTGAACTACAAATGGGAAAACTCTCAGTGCCAAATACAGAAGTCACCGCAGAAACAAGCGCTGGCTGAGAGGCTCTGGAGGGTATCACAGTCTGTAAATTAAAAAGTGAACACAGCAGATTTAGAACAGCTGGGCTGAGAGGTCACCATGTCCCACTCACATGTAACTAGTGTTTCTGCAGCTGTAGTTACCTCGACACTGTCAGCCCAGAAAGTCTGGCACATAACGGGAGTTTTATGCACTTACTGAAAGCGTAGCAGTCGGAGTGTAACTTCTCCACATGAAGAGCAGCCCTATTCTACAAAGATTTAAGTATTTTAAATATTTGAATATATAAGTCTAATTACTATTTTAAAGAGCATAACAGCATCCCTGGAATACTGCCCAAAGGCACTGACCTGAACAGCCCACCCTTGTGACTGTCTCTTCATGCTCCCCAGGGATAAGAGGTACTTGCCTCATGAGCCACCTCAAACACGACATCACACCTCTAACATGTACTCCCCACTGCAGAAGGCCTGAAAAGATTTGTGCAATTTTTCCCATTTCAGGTAACAAAATTCACCAGTGTATCTACACTGAACTAGATTAGCAATTAATTTATAAAAGCAGACACCTACAAAACACAATGAAGTAACAAAATACAGAGGTTTATTGATAATTGCATGATGTATCATTTGATTTCCAATCTCCTTCTGTCCC